AATGTTATGGTTCCCACGCGAGAGCTCTATCAATACACACACACTCGCTCTCACTGGGAGGGTTTTGCCAAAGAAGCTGAAGAGGTACTATCCCGTGATGCATCTCCTTTTTTCTCTGCGTGTGTGTACATTTTAACTACCTTGCTTCCCATCGGGGAGTTTTTTTCAGCCATATTAATTACCTCAAGGGCAGCTTAACCTTCAGCAGTTCAGGAACTTCGATTGGGACTGTAAACTGGTGAGAAAAACCGGATGATCTACAATGAGCACATTCTGCAGCATCCTCCTCAGATTGGTTGGAAGCTCCAAATAGACCGCAACAAAACCCGAAAATATGCAAACCTAAAATGATCTCCATTAGCGTACCGAATCTACTATTAAGAAGAGAAAAGCTCCTTAGGGAAGGTTGAAAATTTAATGTGTAAATTTTTGAGACAGTTTCCCCTGAGAAAATGTGCAACAAGCAATTAAAATTTTAAACGCCCAGAAAAGTCAATATTCATCGGACATGTACACCGATTGGTGGGATTATGTCTTGACCTTGAGGTTACTATAGCTGGCGTCCAAATCCTTATGTCCGTTGATGCATGTCTCACCTGGGTGCATTGCTTCCAGGAATTCGCGGTCTCTTTTAGTCGGATAAGTGCCGACTATCCGTGGGTTCTCCCATGCGAATTTGTGGCCGGTTTCTAGTGTGTGCATGGTCACTTGGGATTAATGGCCTCGTCTTCTAATCGATGACTGATGTTGGTGTATGCAGATTGAGACGCATTTCCCAGTTTGGTCACCACAAAATGCATCACTACTGGCACGCGGGATCTTGTACAGAACACCTTTCCTTTCAAGATAGCCAACCCTGTCCTTTGGGTATAAAAGCTGTGATCGTAAGATGGTTGTGGACTGCTGTGCTACTTGTATCTGATGCTTTCTTAGCTGTCTTTCGACAAGCTCAGACACATTGGTTACGTATGGGAGAGTTCGACAGGTTAGTGTTTCCGATACCTAGCTGGCCGCTGTAACGGTTGCTTTTTGTTCAGACATGCGGTTAAGTGGTCATTCTACCCCTAAATGCGAAAGTAAATGCTTTCATTTTACAACCAGCCACGTAAAACAAAACTCTACCGTGTTGGCTTATTTCGGTAATACTGTCGAAGGTGGTTGCCTCAACAAAATGAAGGTTTCCCAACTTAGAAATCAGGGAAGCCAGAGTAAAGAGTTATACAAAGGGCTTCGTCCTGCGCTAGCTTCCTGCTCTGTCTTTACGCCAGGTGTTACAGGCTGCTGGAAAGCCTTGACTGCCAGGTGTATCAATTGTCGCCTGCAGCCAATCAAATGGAGTGGCGTGCATCGGATAGCTCGAGCTTAGAAACTACAAAACTCATAAGCTATCCTTACCACAGCCTAGTCTATAAAAGCTGTCAACCGGCACATTTCTCAGCGTGGACTCGGAAGCTACAACGAACCAAATTTACTGTGAATGAGAGAGGATGATACAATGCATGCGGTCGTAGTGACTAGCTCCACACGACGCACACATGCGAACGATTGTCGTAACTAGCTCCAATTAAATGCAAACCTGTGAACGCGTGCTGTTGCCGGCCTCCGGAACAGCCAATCACAGGCCGACTAACAGAGAACCTCATGCGATGACTGCCGAGCAGACAGCCCTTCAGGCACCATTCGCTGGCTTGCGGTCGTGCGGTCCTCTGATAGTCAGTTTCATATTGCCTATTCTCCACTTCCTTCTGTATAGAATAAACTATTCCTACCACTCTGGCCCCAAATAGCTTCTCCTTAGGAACCGGGCATGAAGATCACAGTCGCCAGGAGTTTACTTACTAAACCCTCTGCGATACGATCTATGAATAAATTCTCAGGCATTCTCGCTCAGTACTGGTTATTGTTTCACTTTTTAAATAGTAAGTTTTCAAGTAGCTGACATTGGTGCCTACGAAGGAAGTAACTGAACAATTTCTCGCACGATCTTTCATTCTAGTTTTGCAACCATTTAGTCAATTTTCTTCATCAGAAATACTCTTCGTAAATACATTCCTTCCACAATTACAGATGGTGTAATTTCCACCAACCAAAATTCTTTTTGCGTTTTTCATTGACCATGGCTTTTCAGCAGCGTGTAGTAATTAAAACTGACCTGAAAGCGCACGTCCGTTATCTTTTCCCGACATTGCCTCTCAAAGTAAAACATGTCTGGCTGAAAACGTGGATGACCGCAAATTGGCACTACCCGAATTTCCCTTTTTCCGAAGAGATAGGAGACGGCGTCAGTAAGGGAGGAAATGTCCCTTACGTATTGCTAGAAAAAAAAAGAAGTATTTTTACGCAGCGCCGAAGCTATCTAGCTTACTATAAAATTACCTAGACTGGAAGTTTTGGCTGTCTACGGACCATCAAAAAAGACCTCGAAGTTGACGTTCATCTATTAAGGGAGCTCGCAAGATTAACTCCTCTGAATGACGTCTTAAATTATTGGTGACGTCAGTGGTCCGCTGGAGTTTAAAATACGCAGTTGGTCTAGAACTGGCGTTCGGCCGAAGTTCACCGGACCTGGTAGTCAGTTTTTATCTCACTCAACACGTCCCATTTCCCACCATGGGGTATAAAAGACAGGTACCAAATTGCCTAGAACTGGTGCTCACAAAATCGTTGGACAGCAGAAATGAGGGGCAATGCCTACTTCCCCTATGTTGAAGTAATCACAACGTATTTCACTGGAACTTTTTGATATTTTGGCGTGACGACTTCGAGCAAATGAAGGTTGAAATTAACAACATCAGTTGGAAATCAGTTCTCGTTCAGCAGTATAGCTGAGAATTGGGAACGGCTCAGTGCGTTATTGCATAATCTCTTCAGAAACTATTGCCCGATTTCACGCAAGAAGATAAACAACACATCCTGGTGGCTGAGTAAGGCGCTTAAGAAAGAAATGAATAAAAAACGGAGGTTGTGAAGGCAATCCTTCACTGATGGCTGAAGACCTCTGTGTGGGGAATGTTATGTGGTCGGACTGTGCCGTACCTTTGTGATGAGAAAACATTATTGAAGAATTTATGGACATGCTAACCGACATAGCGCTGTCATTTACCCGCGACACTACATAATGTAGACCACCAAAACTTAAGGCCAGCAGTGCATTATCATCGACATAGTCAACTCAGGTAGCCAGCGTCCGGATGCCAGCTCAACATCGTCTTCTTCATGTAGGGCCATGGAATTGAGACGACCTTGTACAGAAATGCTCTTCGAATGGCTTCAGCGTCATTGCAGCAGCTCTGTACAGCTTGAGGTACAGTTAACCGCTCCTCATAGCAATGCCCTTCTATATTTGGTTCGGACTCAGCGTGGACAGAGTACTTAGCCATGCAGGGAGCATTCAGACGAACACTCTTTCTAGCGCCAATTTCACTGTGCCAAGCAGGTACAGTAGATTGTATATCTGATAAAAAGTTAAAATAAAAATTTGAATGGGTGTGCTAACACATAATTGGGATTGTTTAGTTTGTTCATTCAGTTGAGCTGAGGCGCAAAATGCTGTTTACTAGAAAAGAGATCAGTTTTGATAAGAATGATTGGGGCAAATATGGCAGAATGGGGCCAAAGTCAAGGTTTGTTGATATCCAAGGAACTTCCTACTCTATTAAAGGCTCCGGACCAAAAAAACTTGTTTGTGCATGTTGTACTACAGAAGAACATTAATAACGACCAGAAGACTTTAAAGTATAGCTTTTCAGATAACAGGAACTTTTATTTTGCCTTCCGAACATTGAGGTAAGTGCACGTATGAGGTAATCCATTATTATGGGGAAAGGCAGAGTAAAGTCGGTAAACAACATTTTTTATTGCAAACTGGTTAAGTTTCGTGCCCTAAAGATAAGTAGTAAACTCATGAGATCTCTATATTGTTTTACTATGCCGAAATTTGAACCCCTAAACAACCATGTAGGCGTGTAACGATCCCAGGAAACTGAATGGGTTTGTTCGACTGAGGTGGGACTT